ATACTATATACAAGTATGAAATGTATCACTAAGTGTCACATTTTTGAACAAAGAAAGACATCGAAATAAAAAAAATTTCGAATAACAAGTTTTATTCGATTGGAATGCGTCATCTCTCCGAGTGTACTTGATAAACTTTGTAACAAGTATTCTGATACACCCGAAATAATCACCCTGACCTTGTTCACATGCAATTACTCCCCGAATTATGTCGACCGATCGGGTCCGACAATCAGATGTTGTCTCTGAACCCCCGATAAATCAGGGAAGCAAATTCCCCGACTACTGCAATTACCCGACGAATTCTCATGGCATCGAGCTTGTGGTCACATTATTCCGAGGGCCACGCACTAAAACAGGGTAATAAATCAAATCGGCAACTACATGCGGCGCCTACCTTTTTTACCCACAGTATCGGCAACGATAACGAAGTGAAGACGATAACGCTGGACCAATAAATGCGGATACTTTGCCCTCTTGGGTCCATTCTGGCTTCTTGTTCTGTCACCATGAATTCATCTGCGTCGCAAATCGGTAAATAGTACTTTTTTAACGGTGCACCCGTTGACAGTGAAATTATTCGCTGAGAAAATAGAAAAAAAGAAAATTGGCAGAGTGAAAAGTGCACGATGTTGGATCTGGAGAGGAATGTGATGCTCGTGTTGAGGACGCGGCAGGACAGGACTGACAGGAGGCTGAGGCATAAGAAGAAGGCTAATCCACCCCCGATGGAGCCCCCGCCTCAGCTGTTGAATAACAATAATCTTTATACCGATTTTAATATGAACTTCAGTGAAAATGTTAAGCAGGAAGTTGCGAGAAAAAAGGTACTGGAATTGACAGTTTCCTGCGAATTTATTCATTCATTTGTGCAGGGGTGTGAGAATGCAAGTCTCGAAAATAATTCCCCTGATTATTTTGAAATAATTATGCACAATAATTATTTTCGGCAAAGGTCTGTTACATTTTGCTCTCGATCTATTAATTATTATTATTTTGAGGATCTCGTGAAGTGTATGATGATGCGTAAGAGAAATGTCAAACGATATTTCTTGGAGAACACAAAATTATCAACAAAAAAGTTATTTTCCTGTTGTTTACAAAATAATTTGCAAATTTTTATTTTCAAAAACATTCAAAAAATGCACTTCAACTCATATCTTTGATCGTAAAAGTTGATTATTGATATTGAATTATTAATAGAAGTCACTTTCTCATGAATCAGAAGGAAAGTTGAAGTTCTCTTACGTCAATACTATCTAATGACCCTCGCAATTGCATCATATCAACATCTCAGGATGAAACAAAACGCCGATCAATTCGAAAGTTCTGTAAAATCTACGGTTTCACTCCGAAGGAAAAAAAAATTTTTTTTGAACGCTAATAAAACGAATGCACTTGGATTGCGTCAGTCCGGACGATTAAATATTTAAACCCTCTCCAGGGATTTGCGAGGAGACAGGAACCCTATGAATACCTGAGAGCGGTGACAGCGTAAGATCTCGTAGAGGTGCCCTCCACCATTCTCATGCCACTTCAGAATTCCCCTCAAAGTGCACGTAAAATGCGTCACATTATCTGAGAATAGCAGTGTTATCTCATTCGGAAATCTGTTTCGTCGCCATGAACTCACGAACTGTCTCTTCAATTGAATGTTGTTGGCGAATTATTGATAATAACAAAGGCGAATTATCGATGATAACAAATTGTATGGGTAGTTCAGTGGTAATTTTGAAAAAAAAAGAAATTGAATTCGATTTTAAGGGCACAAGCGAGTGAGGAAAGAGGTTTATGAAATTTCAAGTTTCAGGTAGGATTCAAGTTTTGTAAATATTATCCTGATGTATTTTAGAAGTGCATTAGTTGTTTTTTTTTCTATTTCTATTCCATCATTATTCAAAATGGACACTTTAGACTTTTTTTTTCAAATGTTAAAACTTTATTGAATTGCTGATGAAATAGAATTTTTCTATTTTCCTCGGAGAACATATTTATTTCTCTTTGTAATGAGCCCACACTGAGCGCAATCAATCAATTTAATCCTGAGTTATGAATATTTAAAAAATGTCAGAAGTGTCCATTTTGCCCAGGGATGGCCATCAATCTTCCGATTCTTCAATATTAAAAGAATTTCCGACTTGCATTGATCAAGGTTTGAATATACTAATCGAAATTTAAAAATAGTAAACTAATTGATAACCTAAATTTCCAATTGATGATGAATTAAATAATTAAAAATATCGAACTATAAATTTTCTATTAAGTACATAATACCAAATTTCTTATAACGGATTTCCGATTATCCAAATAATCGTCAATCTTCCTAACTCAATTACTGATTAATGAATAATTCAAAATTTTACTATTTGAATTGATGATTGCTTCAATAATTAAAATTTAAGAGTGATGTTAACTAATTGACTACTAATAATTTAACAGTAATTATAATTCATGAGTATGACTATCCCTGACTTTGCCCTACTCTGCCCTAGACATCGCTTATCTTAAATTTCCTGAAATTGTCTATAGGCTGATATGGCTGATTTATTACGTGTTGTTCCACTGTCTTTGTCTCCGGCAAGTTGCAATTTTTAATTGAATCCGCTCTAACTGGCCAGTGAATTAGTTGAGTTGAAAGGATGGTTCGGTAGGATTCATGGCTCACTAGGGCTTTTGTCGTTACGCTGGCGCAAGTCTAGCCGGTGCAATCGAGTTTGTGGCCGTTCGAAAGTTTTGAAGTAGTTGGACACGCTCCGGTGACCAGTTCTACCTTCTCTCCTTTGTTAACTTCATTCTTCGAATGGAAGAATTGGATTTTACATCCTGAAATTTTGGCTGAGAATTGGCGTTTTCCGTGTATTTTTTCGTTGGGAAAAAATCGTGAAACACAATTTTAATTTTCTGTTACAAATTCACGTAATAACAGCACTGAATTGCTGCACTCAGAGATACAGTCTCAATTTGAACGAAACAAACTTCATTACAGTCAAATAAATCGTATCATTAGAATCGAATAAACGATTTATTTGAATAAATCGTCTCATTAGAATCGAATAAAGGATTTATTTGATATAGATAAATTATTCATTTTCATGAAATTAAAATATTTTCATTGAAATAAATATATGCTTTTATTAATTAGAAAAAAAAATATTTGAGTGAATAAAACAATTTATAATTAAGAGTTTTGTTTTAGTCAAATACGTAATTTCTCTCGGGGCAAGGCTCCAGGATTTTTTCCTCTCAAAAGCGCATTACCCTTGATTTTTTTGAACTGTTGATGACGTCTTTCTGATGATATCGATGCTAATAACTGCACGTAGGCCCTCAACGAGCTGATAATCTCCGATTCTCCACAAAAAAAAATATTCACAGAGCTCTTAAATCCATAAATTCCCCAGACAATCGCCCAATTGTTCCAATAGTTATTCAATAATCACCTCGACGATAAACTCCTTCATAATGCTCAATTGCCTATTCCCACCGCAATTACCACATTCACGTAATCACTAGCCCCCAATTAAGATTAAAATCCCAGAGAAAATGAGGAAAAAATCACGATAACGAAGCACCCGCCACTGAAGGATCAACCCATCCTCTGAACTAATTGACGAGTCGTTCCACTCCAGTTATTACGTCACAATATAGGCGACAATCCACGGGGAGGTAACCGGCTTATGCACAATTTTCCACGACCCGAATGCTCTTATCACCGAGGCGCTCGGCTAATTGCCCACCTTTTGCGTACAACTTACGAAGGATGCTCCACATTGCAGTGTTACCCAATAGCACCGCAAAATACTTTTTTTATTCCTTGATGATCATGATTTAATTATCTATTGGTTTAATTAGAATTCACTTGAATAAATGAAGACTATTGTTTAAGATCGATTGATTGAACTAGACGAAAAAAGGCTGTAGGCTTTGATTTTTTATCATTAAATAATGAAGTTAAAAAATCTATTAATAATAGAATAATAATAATTTTATTTTTTTATTCAATAATTTTGTTTTTCATTCTTTTATGAATAATGAAAATCAGGAAATTTCACATAAATATATTCCTGCGTTTTTAATTCACAATTCGTTGAAAAAATCAATAGGACTCGTTAATTGCAGTCATAATTTTCGTTATTTTCACTCAGCCAAAAGCTAATAGAATTTTCTATCCCATCCGTTACGTTTTCCCATGAAATTTTTTGGTTTAGACAATTTAAAAAAAAACAAATAAAATTAAAAAATGCCTTATTCTATTCCGTGGTATATGCCACCACTGTAGGATCAGATGTCCGTCAAGGGGAAGGGGCAGCGTAGACGCCGTGCCCTGTTTCACCGGAATAGAAGGACACCCGCACCGGAGGAAATCGGGTGGGGCCCCCACTCGTCATTTCCCACCTACTCACTGTCTCAAAATGTAAACAATTGGTTGGCCTCACGAGTGGGGGCATTTCCACCGTCTGAATTACTTTTCCACCAAATTATAATGATTAGTTTGATGCGGAGAGCAGCGGGTTTTGAGGTCCCCCTGGGTCTCGGCGATTTGCACGTTTCATTCGAACGTTAATCGGTTAATTAAGGTGAGGGAGGTGGTTGCAAGGTCGATGCCGTGGAGTGGGGCAATCAGTTGCCCCAGTGAGGATACATTTTTCAGCATTAGTGGTTGACACTTCGCGCAACTTGCAAGTTAAGTGTCTAGAAAATAAATTAATTTCTTCTCACTTATTTTCATTTTTTTTCCGCTCGAAATTCGCGTGAATATTCGATCATCCGTTGATGATTATTCGCTATTAATTATTAGTTATCCTTGATTAATTATTGATAATTGTTTATTTGCATTTATTTGATCGGAGTGAAGTAGAATATGAAGAAGTGAAAGAAGTGAGCCCTCACAATTATCGAGATAGTGAAGTTCAGTTGATCCGTTGGCTTTGCGACTCTTCAGGGTCTTCAGCCCGTGGAGTTGAAGCCGTACGTTTGAATAGGTGTGATAGGGAGGAATTATGGTGGACAGAGAGGACGAGAATGAGGGCGGCAGCTCACCGGACACGGTGATTGCGCGAGTGGAGTTCGAGGCGGCCAGGAGGCTGAGGCATAACAGGACTTCCGGGGAGTACCACACGGCTGCCGATTCCAGCCTGAGTTTGGATGTCACCGGGGGGACCCCGGGGACTGAAGCGAGTGGCGGTGGCACCGCTGGAGGAACTGGGAAGCAGGAGGAGAAGAAGAAGAAGCGGTTTGGAACCTTGAAGAGCACTTTCCGAAGGGACAGCGGGTTCTTCAAAGGGAAGAAGAAGAGCAAGGAGTTGCAGGCACAATCTTCGGCGGAGCTGGAGTTTTCGGAGGATGTGCCCAAAGGTGTCGGATTTATTTTAGGTTTCATCAGCTTTTTTCATCATTGGTGCAATTTGCTTTTGAGATTTTTGCCCCTGAGGCAGAGGCGACAAGATTTTGGGGAGTTTTTTTGGAAACAGCTCGGGACTTACGAGGAAAATATGTTGAAATTACTCATAATTTTCAATTTTACTCATAAATTAAAAATTTTTTGTAACTGAAAATTCACAGTTCGATGAAGAAATTAATAGGAACTGTACATTTCAGTTCGATTAGGCTGTGAAAATTAGTGAAAGTCCGAGAAATTATTGTAAATACGTGCTTGAATTTTTAAATTTATTGAAATTTCGAATATGTTGAGAAAAATTTGAAATTCTATTGAATTTCCAGGGAAATTCAAAATATCAAAATTCTTTTTCCCAAAATCTAATTGTTCTCCAACTTGAATCGTTCTCCCAAGTCCCCTCCAAATCTCTCGACTCCGACCCTAATTAATCAATCCAAATAACCACCAACCGACGAGACTAAAAAAATCGTGCGATGTGCCCAATAATCTCATCTCGTTCTCGACCCACTTAAAAAATCGTTAGAAGCCCCAGTAGAGCCTGTATCCAGGGCGCTAACACTCATTGTTACGGTGGCTTCTCGCAGAGCCAAACAGAAGAACAGGTGCACCACTGGAGAAGAGATACTCTCCAACGCCACCGGCCCACCCAAGTCCATCGCCCCCAGTCACGAAGATGATGAAGAAGAAGTCCGGCTCGCTCGTCCGCAAACTGAGCCTCAACAAATTTCGTCTCGGCTCGAGCGATCAGGAGACACGCCATACACCCGAGGGTGGTGACAGCAGTCGTTCGCAGAGTCAATCCTCCCAGGAGTCGCCCAGTTACCCCGAGAGTCCAGTAAAATCTGGGAAAAAAACTGGACATGCGAGTCGGCTGGACGACGAGAGAGTGAAGGGAAGGGAGAAGAGAACAACTCCTGCAGCGACACCGACGTCAGAGAGGCGTAACCCAGGTACAACGTGGGGGCAAGATAGGGAGGAGGGAGAGGGTGCTGGCACCGAACGACGGGGAGACGATGGCAAACGTCGACAGAAACCAGATAAACTCGAGAAAACAGTCAGCACTGTCACTGTTGTACAGCGCAAGTCACCCTCGGTCACCATCAGGACGAGTTTCTCACAGGAGCGTAAACAAAGTCCAGGTAAGAATTTCCTCTGGGGTTTGTAAGAACAATTTTCAAAAGTTTACATTTTTCAGGGACTTGTCACTGATTTTTCAGGAATATTTCCTGTATTTTTAGGAATTCGCGATTGTGAAATTTGAAGAGTGCGAAATTCTGGAATTTCATAGACAATTTTTTGTGACATTTCACTCATGTTCATGAAAATCAAGGCTTTTTTGTCTCCGTGTGCAATTTTCAAGACCGAATGTTCTTCTCAAAATAGTTATTTATATTTCACACGGAGAGAGATGTTCAGTAAAAATTACGGAACTCACAAATCCCTCACCGATTACGGAACGACTCAGAAAATTCAAGTGACGGTATCGCAATTTTTCACAGGAGATTCAGATGAAAATTACGGAAAGCTCTGGAAAAATTCCGTGACAATTCCGCGGAATTTCCTACAATCACACTTCGCTCCAGAATCACGGGGAAGATACGTTATTTTTATCGAAATAAAAAAATATTCCTCTCCGTGCATGCAATAAAAAATAAAGGATTGTTTAATTTTTCGTTCGTCGTGATTTTATGCGGTTTCCTTCTTCAATTATTGCAGACTTGAAGAGAGAAGAGCGTCGTCCGGAGCCCTCGGGCAGTCAGGCCGTGTCAACTCTCCCCTACGCCCTCTCCAAATGGTCTGACCGTTCAGTCGACATTGGTGGATCATCCAAGAAACTAAAGCTAGCTGTAAAAGCCGGGTCAGAATCCTCCCTGAGGACGCCACCGGTGACGCCCCCCGTGGAACTCCGGCGGAAGCTGTCGCTGCTCGAGGAGAAGAGGGCGATATTTCAACGCAAGTTCTTCGCGAGCTCCGAGGGAATCCCATCGCGGGATAACTCACGGGACACTGTGGTCGGCATTCGGGGATCCCCCAGCCCCGAGGAGAACCCGAGCGAGGAAGATCCTTTCCCCGAGAACTTCGGAAACAGGCGACCCTCCAAACACATAAGTGTGCGAACCTTCGATATTTACTCGACCTTCGACGGCGATTTCGACGAGGAGTCGGAGGATTATTTGGAGGGGATTGAGGATCAGGAGGAGATTGAGCCCAGGAGCATGGCCCTCGTCGGTGAGACGACGGCTGATGTCCCCAGGACACTCAGCGTTGAAAGTGGGGTGAGAATTTCCTCGATGAAACATGAATTCAGGGGAGAATGAGGGGTTTTCTGATACCAGTGCAGTGATTTACATAAATGTGATATTATTGTTGATTATGTAAATTCAGCCGGGTTGAGTAACTCTGGGGGACATTGCGATGAGATATCTTCTCGAATTACTTCAATCCGAGGTGATTGCGTAATCCATCTCGTATTCTTCTCGTTATGTGTTTGATGATTGACATTGAGACAAAACATCGAATCTTTTTTATTTTATTTTTATTTTTTCTCACAATTTCTCAACTTTATGATAACTGTGTATCTCATGAATTTTTAATTGTGCTCTAATTACGCGCGTTCATTAATTATACGACCATTTTGGAATGGATTGCTGTTCGGAAAAAACTTGAGTAATGCTTTCTTGCTGAGAATTTTATCACTTGCGGAAAAGTTTTTCGGGCATTTCCTCGGAAAATGTTTTTCCAAGTGCACTTGAAAGATTCTGCTCTTAGAAATTTTTTGAATCTTGATTAACAGCTGCGTCTGAATTCTGAAGGTTGTGCGTTTAAATTCCTTTTGAGATGAAGTCGTTGTTAACTCTAGGCTCGTCACCTCCGCGGGGATTCCCCGCTGTGTTATTTAGGCTCCAGCGTTGCCGAATGGTCGCGGGATGGGCAATTTCATTTAATATGGGAAAACATAATTCATCTGTTCGAAATGATTTGTTTTCTTTTGTTGTTCTAAAAACTACTATAATTTTTAGACACTTCAAAAAGTCAAATTTTTCTGATTTTTTTCTGGTTAACCAGTCAAATGTAATTAAAGAAAAACGACGCACGGCGACTTTTCTTTAAGATATTCTAAATTTTCTTTAAGAAAGTCTATTGGAGTTCTATTAAAAAAGTCAATTTGTTTGTGCCAATTCTGTTGAAGATCATGCAATTTGAGCCTGTCATTTCGTTAAGATATATTTTGCTGAAAAAAAAACACATTTTGATTTCTCTATAGAAATTCTTGAGCATAAATTTTCCAAGTTTTCATCCGTTGTATTTTAATTTGTTTCTCATAATAAAAATCAAACAAAAAACTTGAAAAATTCTTCTTCAGCAATTCTTATACAAATAATCCATAATTCTTTAGACACTTCAATTTATAAAGACAATATTTTTTCAATTTTTCTAATCTAGGGTTAAAGTTGCTCATTTATCTTGAAAATTCCACAAAATTGATTTTTTTTTTATGTCAAGCGCCCATTGTTTTTTCGAAAACAGTCTGAATTTTTCAACTTTTTGAAAAAAATAGCGTCGAAACGATATCCCCCCAGAATAAAAAAACCCAAGAAACACTCGAGTTCGCACGTAATTCTATGATGCGGATCGATATAGTTGCACTTTGCGGTTCTCGTCCAGAGTTTCGGGTTACCACTCGTGGCTTCTCAGCCTCCCCTTTTCGCTTTGCATCGAGGATGAAAAAACAGTGCAAGAACACGCGAAAAAAAACAATGCAAAAATGAGGCATACAACTCGTTGGGTCGCTTTTGCGTGCACCTTTACTCTCACATTGTTCCCGTTCGCGAAGATGACGTCACATACCTGGGGCTGACTTTTTCCGGATTGTATCCCTCGGGGGAAACTTTCCATTAGTCCATTAATTTCCACCCCGAAATCCCTGTCTCTCTCTCTCGTAGTACTCAGACAGGCCGAGATATCATTGACTGTATTGTCATAGTGGCGGGGGGCCACACCGAGAAGACCAGTGCTTTGCGTTTCGCCTCATTGTCCGAGTCACTGCTGACAATCTTGCGCGTCAGACCGTCCAGTGAGCATCCTTTTGGTTCTCAAGAAAATTGTCATTTAGAAGAGTGCATTCTAACTGTTGAAAAACCAAGAATACGCGCCTTCAGGGGGAAAAGTTTTGTTTCCGGGTGTTTACTGTTTTTTGTGTATTCAATATGGAGATGGACTTGAAGTTTTGGCAGACTCTCACATTCCAAGAGCTCACGAAATGGAGAGTTCACCCGAAGTCATGGAAATGGTGCATGGTCTGTAGCCTCATGTCCACTATTTCTTTTTTCGTTGAGTCCAAGTTGCTCTGTTTGATGTCCTCTCTTTAATCTACTCGTGACATCAGAGTTGCATTCATGTTTGCGAAGAGTAATTGCGGTTTTTCGTTGTGAAAATTCGATGAATAATGCTTTTACCGTTTCCAATCTCAATTCTGCGGCTCACTGGATCTCCACGAGATAAGATAACATTTGTTGTGCATCACGTGGCATTCGGTTTAATGATTAATGTTTGTGGCTTCTTCTTCATTGATTTATTGTTTTAGGATTGTTCTTTGATTTTTTTTACAGTCGACGCACAATAGCGCACCGAGTGCAGGCGTTGGTGAGAAGAGAGAGCATTTGTATAAGATACTAGTTATTGGGGAATTGGGAGCTGGCAAAACGTCGATCATTAAGAGATACGTTCATCAATTTTTTTCACAACATTACCGCGCCACCATCGGCGTTGATTTTGCGCTCAAAGTATTGAATTGGGATCCACACACGATTATCAGGCTACAGCTATGGGATATCGCAGGTCAGTTGTAAACAAGATTGATAAAGCATACATAGTGAGAACGACAACTTATTTCTTCACTGTTTGTCTTCAAAAGGCTAAAAATTTTTGTAGAGTAAATTGAGCGCTATAAAAAGGTCTTTAAAAATTTTTTGCTGAGATTTCTCCCTTAAATTTCGTGACATTCATTGAAAATCGACTTAATTGCTGTGAATTCGGTGGCTTGTAATTCGATGTATTATAAAAATGTCTTGTCTAGCAAACTTGGTGTTTTTAGACGGAACATCCGTTTTATATTCAGTAAAAATTACGGAACAATTCACGTAATCCGCAATGGGGAATCGTTTTCCGGAAATTTTTATAGGAATGGAAGAGAATAAATCTGAAACGTCCAGTGAATTTTCAGGTTCATCACCGAACAAAGTACGAAATTGTTACGTAATTTTTCCCGAAGAAGCAAAATCTTACAGAAACTTGCTGACTTGTTATGCCTCCAAAATCAAAAATTTTTGAACGCTCAACAATTTTTATGAAGCTGGCGAGTTATTTCTACGTTCCGTTCCGTAAAATTTCTCAATCGGTGGGGAAAAATTACGGAACGACTTGTTGTCCCCACAGCGGTGAGACATCAGACGGGTGGTTAATTTTTACGGAACAAATCGTAGAATTTACGTGGCGATTCGTACAATTTCCGTTCCGACTCACACTTTTTATTGAATTTTACTTCGCTGACAGATTACTTTTTGAAATGTAATTGTTACGTTTTTTTCTGGTAAATTTTATGGAATTTTTCTCTCCGTGCATGACAAAGTTAGCCGATAAGGCACGAAAATACTAGTTTTTGAATTAGTTAATGATAATTTTCTTCCTCTTCACGATGAATTAGGACAAGAGAGATTCGGGAACATGACGAGAGTTTATTACAAAGAAGCCGTTGGTGCCTTTATAGTCTTCGACGTGACGAGAAGTGCAACTCTTGAGGCTGTGGTCAAGTGGAAACAGGATCTTGACTCAAAAGTGCAACTTCCCGATGGCTCACCCATTCCATGTGTTCTTCTCGCTAACAAGTGTGACCAGCAGAAAGAGGGATTAGTCAATTCACCGGGGAAAATGGATGATTATTGCAAGGAGAAGGGGTTTGCCGGGTGGTTCGAAACATCGGCCAAGGAGAATATTAATATCGAAGAGGCTGCTCGATTTCTTGTGAATAAAGTAAGTCTGGATATACATCATTTAATGATAATAATTTTACTGATCAACTGAGAAGAAATGTCGTGGGCATTTTCGTGTGGGAAGTTGTCTTCACTTGTACCGAGAGGAATTATGTTTTTGAGTTGAACAAAACCCTTTCATATTTATTGAATAAAATTTTTCATGGAAATTTCCAGGAATTTCATCAATGAAAATTTAAAATTTTATGAAAAAATCAATGAGGATTGTGAATTTCAGTTGAATTGTTTCCTCAGGACATTGTTGATTATGTTTGGTAAACTATTTATTCAATGTGACTGACGATTACGAATTCTTGAAATCAATCTCAATAGGTAATTCTATTGAAAATTCTATTAGCCAATTGTATTGGCCCATTCTATTGAAGGAGTTCACAGCTTTCACACCCTTTCCTGTCCAACAGAAACTATTTTATAGAAAAAGTCTGTCGAATTTGATTTTCCTATAAATTTTTTTCTATTGAACAATTTTTCCAATATTTTTCACTTCATTTTTCCTCTCGTTTCGTTAAAAAGATGAAACAAAAGGGCGGAAAAATTGAGCCGAGGAATTCTACTAATTTTTCTGTAGAATATTTTCCACTAAGCATTTCTTTTTTCAACAGAATTTTTCAATTTTTCAATAGAATCTACCGGAAATTAATAGAAAGTTCTATAGAAATCCAATAGAAATTTCTACAGAATTCTCTAGGTTTTTCACTTAAATTGCTTCGTAAGTGAAACAACAAGTTAAAATGAATCTATTGTTTCCATCAATTCCAGATACTCCAAAACGATCAAATAATGAAAGGCAATGGTGCCCAAGACCAAGTAGACGGTGAACGTTTCGCCCTAAACCAATCGCCAACGAGTTCAAAGAAGTCCTGCTCCTGCTGACAAAGTGTTATTAACCCCAATCATCCGCCCAACTTGGAGTACAACGAGACCACGCGAAAGACTGTCATCGCGTCAATCACCTAGAATTCGTGTGACAATTACGTGTTTACATTAATTATTATCTTGTGACGTGCAATAACGCTAGCCTGACCAATGGCGTTTCAATATTTCTAGTTAATGTCCATTTGCCACGCAAACTTATTTAAGGAGAATGATAAGAGAGATGGAGAGAGCAAAAGACTCTCGGAGATTACATTCCATGCCATTCCATTTGCCTAATTATCCCCCTTCCCTGGACCTCCACCTGTTAACTTCAACGGAAATTCAATTACGTTGTGGAGTTTTTTTCTTTATGGAACCTGGTGTTTACCTTGAATGTCGCTTTTAGCGCGGCCTCAGTGCCATTCGTTCATAATATCATTTTTCGAAAATTGAATTTACTTTCAGCTCTCATTCTGTAGGTTTTAATGAGCTTTCAAGTGGGGAAAGACGATGAGTTATTATTACATAAAAGGACTCCTTGGTAATTTTTATCAAGGGACATTTCGACTGATATTTTTGGGGAAATTCGTCAGTGAAAATTCACAATTTAATTTTGAAAAATATGTGGAAATGAGAAACTCAATTGAATCACCCCTGAGCTCAGATTTTTTTATTTTATTATTTATGTTTTCCAACTACTGATTTCAGTATGAAACCCACCCGTTTTGTTCCACAACTTCCCACTGGAATTTTAATCCGAATAATCACGAGAAAATGGGATGTGTGAATTTTTAATCTAGTGGATGAAATAATTTTCACGACACCCTCTTTCGTACAGAAAAATTGTGGCTATGAAAGAGTGTACTTCATGAAAATTTGGCTGTCTCAAGTAGAATTTCTCATCGCGTTCTACCATTCCACAACCCAAACGCTAATTAAATTACCCATGAGTCTAAAACTGTTTCCAAATTCCACCCCACGCTCAGGTTTTTCTATTCAACGAAGAATAAGAAAAGTAGAAGCATCGACGTTGAATTGTTGTTTCACGATGAAATTTTATACACACAATTGAGAGAAGAATATTGCGAAGATATATATGTATACACGTGCAAAAGAATTATAAAATATTAAGTCATCACCATAGGTTCACTCGAAACCGAAGCGCTCTACTAATGTCTTGTAAATAACTAAAAATTCTAGATCAACAAATCAACAAATCTTCCGTCGGTCTCAGTGAGTCGTAGCAATGCCTCCCCTGTCCTCCGTTTTAATTAAGGTATTTACACTTTTATATAACACTGTAATCACACTTTACGACTCACGAGGCGACGATTCTAAAATAGCCCGAGACGATTTTACTACTGCAATTGTTTGCGACATACAGTATCTTGAATTCTTTCTCTGTTCTCCATAAAATTATTCTTGTTTTGTTCGATGTAATAAGTGAAGACGCCATTAAATTATGCTCGATTGTTATTGTGGTTTTCTTACTCCATTTGTCCTTAATAGCAATATTTAGATATTTTATTTTCTTTTATCGCGCTCTGACGTGGGAGAAAATCTGACTTTTATTGTTACTGAGAGTTTATTTATTGACGACTGACTTTGGCAGTCGAAACCCACGGCGATTGTCTCGGCTACTGCTCGCGAGCTTACGGGGAGTCCGCTCAGGTCAGGACAGGGTCTTCAAGTGACAAAACCGATAGGGGAGAGTAGGATAAAACGACCCCTTTTGATTTTTTCAAAAATGGTAACAGCTCATTCAATTTTAAATAAAATGGAATAATTTTTTTTCCATGGAAACTACACTTCTTCCCCTTGAGAATGAGCTCAATTAATGATCTCGATTAATGAATTTGTTTCTGAGTTATGAGTATCACAAAAAAGTCAAAAGGGCGGTTTACCCCTTAGATATTTAACTGGGTTATAATTAGGAGATAATACGAATGAAGATGTTATCAAATATAAATGAAGATGGGATTGATCTGATTGCACTCGACTATCCACTTCCGGCTCCCTTCACAGCCAAACGACTTCCAAAAGGAAGCCGGGCTCCCGTGTCACCGTCAGAATGCCTTTTAAGTACTTTTGGCAAAACTTAGTCTTCGAAACTGAGATGAAAATACTAAAATAATATTTTAATACGCGTATTAAAGCATATGCGTCACAGCGTTATTTATGGTTAATTGTTTAGTGAAGAGTCTGCGGTCGTTGCCGAGAGGCTTTAACTTCCGTAAAAATGGAATATGTGCAGTTGATAAGCCATTCAAATAAGAGATAATTGCGGTTGCAGGAGATATAGAATCCCGAGGCATGAAGAAAGTAGAATTGATAGGGCATGGGATTGTGATTTGCAATGGATGGTTGCGCGAGCCTTTTGAAATCTGATGTCCACGGGGTGAATCCCTTTGACAACAGGATCAATGGGAAATTACTCCTCTCGTGGGACAATCTGACGGTTAAAATCAGGACCAAACGAAGTTTTTGGGATTTTTTTTCGGTGAAAGTCGGACAAGTTCCGACGAAACTGGTGCTCAGGGACAACTCGGGATTTGCTGAAACTGGCCAGTTGGTTGCCATCATGGGCCCCAGGTGAGAGTAATTTCCAGACTGGTGGATTGAAATGTTAATAAGTAATTGTGTGCAGTGGAGCTGGCAAAACTACTCTACTTGCTACTCTCGCGAGACTCACCGACCCAGCGGCCGGATCGATTCGTCTCAATGGAGTTGAATTATCCAAGGGTGATATGTCAACGATAGCGAGCTTCGTTCCACAGTTTGATCCACTACCTGCCATGCTGACGACTGGTGAATACATATCATTCTTTGTACGTTACTCTGATTGGTTGATTTGGAGGGAATTCGGAGGGTGAATAATAGATAATGTTGAGATGCTTCCCAATTGGGAATTTAGTACCGCGTGTGTCAGAATTTCGTTTTCCTCGGGGATCAGATTTTTCTTGATGAATGTCTCAATCCACTAGTTTCTTTTTTCGTTTGTAAAAATCGTAACGTAAGATTTTTTTCAAGGGTTTATTATCAAACATCTCTAGATAATTTTTCCGAGGGGAATTTTCTTTTATCAGTTGAATTCTTAAGGACCTGCCATGAAATAACAATTAATATAGCTTTTTTCTCAATATTCCTGGAAAATTACTCGCGTACACAGCAAAAACGAATGTCTGAATTTCACTAAAAAACGTCTGAATAAGATGAAAATTTGTCAGAATTTCAGACAAACAGGTGCCTAAACAGGAAAATTTTCATTTTATTCAGACACTCTTCAATGTCTGAAAAATATCTACAAAACGTGCGTGTAATGCAGACATTTGTTTTTACTATGCAGATGTTGTCATTAATATTATTGCATTATTGCAACTATCGTGATACTCTCTATTTACTGTAAATTCATATACAGTTGTTTCTTGAAATTCGTACAATTTTTGTCCCTATCATGCGAATTTTTCTTCAGTTACGAAAACGATGACTTTTTTTATAACTCCGACGGGTGAAAAAAATTGCTTGAAAATTTTATCTGAATGGTAGTGCGCCCTGAAACTCGATAAGTGCACATCCGCCAGGGAGAGAAGTTTCTTAGCGATGAGAATTATTGAGGAACTAGGACTGTTAGACAGCCGTGATGTTTTAATATCAAAAATCTCCGGTGGCGAGCGAAAAAGAGTCTCGATAGCAGCGGAGATGGTCACGAAGCCCAGAATTCTCTTTCTCGACGAGCCAACGACCGGTGAGTCCATCGGAAATAATTCACCGAACGAAATAATAATTCAAATTCCCCCAGGATTGGACTCGTGCTCGGCACTTCGCGTTATTCAATCGATTAAAATCGCCACAAGTGACAGCATTGTCCTCTGCTCGATTCATCAGCCCGGAATAACACTCTACAATTTATTTAGTCACGTTGTATTTTTGACTGAGGGAAGAACGGCCTTTTTTGGGAGTCTGGAGAATGCTAAGATCTTTTTCCAGAGGCAAGTGTATTTGAAGCTCTACCAACTTCGTCTTTAATTTAATATCGATTTGATTTTATTGATGAAGAGAAGGATATAACTGTCCGCATGGATTCGACGAGGCTGAGTATTACATTAAGGTCTTATCGTCACGACATTCGGAGGATCTCATGGCTGATGATCTCGACAGGAATAACGCTGAGGGAATTTGTAACGCTTACAGCCGTTCATCTTTCTCCGATTTTTCAGAGAAAATTGGAGAAGGTCCGGTGGGATTTGAGATCGAAAACATCGAGTGAGCATTTCAAAAGATGACACGCGAAGGGAAAGAAATATTCAATAAAAATTACGTATCTCTTCCGTAATTCCGGAGCGAAATGCGGTTGTAGGAAATTTTACGGAACTGGCACGGAATTTTTCCGGAGCGTTTCGTCATTTTTATCTGAATCTCCTGTGAAAAATTACGATACCGTCACTTAAATTTTCTGAGTCGATTCCGTAATCGGTGAACGAATTGTGAGTTCCGTAATTGTTACTGAACATTTCTCTCCGTGCATGCTGAAAAATTCGATAGGAGATCCTAGTATTTTCGCACTGGAAATGTTTAAAAAATGGGGATTGTTGAAAATTAGAAAATTATTAAGAATTTTAGGGGAAAAAATCTGAATCGAGTAAATCTCCTTCATACGAGTGAATTTTATGAGATTCATTACCTCATCGTTCATTATCTCGGATAATTACACTAAAACCAGCCACGATTTCCAGAAAATCATCAGCACGATGGTTCACCCAGGTTAATTGGCTCGCATGGAGATATTACCTCGAGAACATAAGAGCTATGATGAACGGATTGATTGCATTCTTCTATTACGCTGTGAGTCGATTCAACTCTACTCTCTTATCATTACGGAGTCCCATTTAATTGGATTATTTTCATTTTTATCCACCGATAGATCTCCATTGTGCTGATTGGAATTTTTTACATTGGAATTGACACTGAGAGGCAATCTGGCGTGAAGGATACGATGGGAATGCTCTATATGACGGGCACAGAGCTCGTGTATTCGTCCGCATACACAGTATTGTATGAAGTGCAGTCGGAAATTCCAATTTACCTCAGGGAGAGGCGATTCTATGGGCCGACCGCGTATTACCTAGCCATGGTATTTAGTTGGGTAAGAAATAACCCATGGAAAACCCCAGGAAGAACTAATTGGAGCACGTGCGAAAAAATTGAATAGAAATCTATTGAATTCCATTGAATTTCTGATGGAGTTTCATTGGGATTCTATAAAAAAATTATATAACTTCGGCGAAAAGTTTATAAATGTTCATTTTTCTATATAACTTATTCTATTTAGATTATTTCTATAAGAATTTTTAAAAAAGAATTTTTCATGTTTTTTCTTTGTTTGATTTTTATTATGAGAAACGAATGAAAATGTAACGGAAGAAAACTTGACGAATTTATGCTGAAGGATTTCTATAGAGAAATTAAAATTTATCAACTTTTTTCAGTAAAATATATCTTAACAAAATGATCGGCTAAAATTGCATAATCTTCAATAGAATTGGCACAAAAAATTGAATTTTTTAGTAGAACTCCAATAGAATTTCTTAAAGAAAATGCTAGGTTTTTCTATTAACCCTAGTTGCTCACCCTATGAGGGAAACCCCGCCACGCGTCGTTTTTCTTTAGTTACAATTGACTGGCTAACCGGAAAATTTTTAAAAAATTGACTTTGTCAATTGAAGTGTCTAAAAAATTATAGTAGTTTTTAGAACAACATATTTCCCAAAAATCCTAAAGAAAACAAATTATTTCGGACAGATGAATTATTTGTTCCCACACGGAGACAAATGTTCAGTAAAAATTACGGAACTAACCGTTCGCTCACCGATTACGGAATCGACTCAGAAAATTTAAGTGACGGTATCGTAATGTTTCACAGGAGATTCAGGTAAAAACTACGGAACTCTCTGGAAAAATTCCGTGATTTTAGGTAAAAATTACATGGCAGTTCCGTAAAATTTCCTGCAACCACATTGCGCTCCAGAATTACGGAAAAAATACGTAATTTTTATTCGATATTTCTTTCCGTGCATGTTAAATGAAATTGCTCACGACGCGACGTTGCCGAAAACTCGCTAAACGCGGCCGGACAGTGTAGAGTGAATTCGGCAACGCTAGAGCTTAAATAACACGGCGGGGAATCCCCGCGGAGGTGACCAAGCCGCAGACTGGGATTAAATTTTGTCATCCATGCGAATATTGTTCTATTGATCCTTTTCAGGTCCCCAAAGTCATGGCGAAGTCGTTATTCCTCACGACTTCAATTATCCTCATCCTGAGGTACGACGAAGGAACTTTCTTTATTTTCCTCGAGTATTTCGTTGCAACGACTGCCTGCGGTATCTGCGCATCGGCTTACGGAATTATGATAGCCTGTCACATTGAGCGGGTCAGTGTTGCCATTGACATTATGGCACCCATCAATCTACTCGCGATGCTCATGGCTGGGGTTTTTTATAATCTGAGAACTCTCTCGTGGGTAGCTGGGTGGCTCAAGTATCTGTCCATTTTTCATTACTCACACGAGATGATGGCTATTATTCATTGGTCGAGAGTGGCTAGGATCGAGTGCGATACGAAACACTTACCTTGTTTTGAGTCTGGGGCTGACGTCCTCGCTGAGTATGGGTACAGTCAGAGGGACTGGTGGGGCAACGCCGGGGGACTGCTGGCACTCACTGGGGGTGCGTTTTTCGTTGGGTTCTTGGGGGCGCTGAGGAGGAGAGTTGTCAAGTCTTTGTATTAATTATTTTGGATTGGAATAAATGGTTTCAAAAAAGAAGAGCCGAGGATTAATGCAGGATGGAAATCACCAGGTCAAAAATTTTTGACGCGCTTTACAGAATCGTTTGTCAAATGACAGTTTCACTAAAATCTTAGGGAATTCGAATGGAAAAAATTCGGCTGAATTGAATTCAATGTCACTTTCCTAAAAATTACTAGTCAACTGTCCACGAAATTTTCCAGATTAAAAAAAAAAACAGTGTAACGATTTTCGAAGCCTCTATTCCATTTATCAAATAAATAATATAAATAAATATGGTATATAATACATGCTATATATACTATATGCATATATTTTTTTATACTTTAATTTTTTTAACTGTAAAAACATAAATATAGTTCTATAAAAAAAATTTATAGGATAGTATATAATGCATCGCTAAAAATGAAAAAGAACGCAAAAAGCAAAAGAAACTTTTCGACAATTAAATTCTCATTGTGAAAAACTTTGTTGAAACCATTAATTTTTCCTGCATTATTATTGCGATAAAAATTAACGAAAGTGAGAAACGATAAGGTTTTGCTATTCTGGCACCCACGGAGAACAATACGCGCCCTGTTCAAGTTGAAATAAAAGGTGTGAGAGATAAATAGTAAAACACTAATACTCCCCGATAAAAGTTCAGGAGTATATATTTCCTAATAAACACATTACTAACTTTCTCCTTAATCCATTTGTAAAGGAATCTTCTTGTTAATAAACGGGCTCCTTCTTGCTTCGGTAGCGTATAGCCAAGAAGCCAGCGAAATGTCCCAGTGTGAATATTGCAATGAGGCCCACAAGGTCCATGTAGTAATTACCAGCGACAAACCCGTATTTCTCGAGGACTCCCGCACCCGAGGATATGCAGGGCTCCTCAGGATCTGGTGGACAATCTTTGAAAAAATTGAGAGAAATAGAAAAATGGAACAAGCGTCCCATAATACTTTCTAAATGAAAGTATTATGGGAAAAAATCGAAATTTTTCTCGTTAATCGAGAATTCAACAAGGCGTAACAAGTAAACTTGCGCCCCGCCCCCTCCACCCCCCAATTCCCTTAATAATGTCGTTGATACGAACTTATATGATCATATTCCCTCCACTGAGTCAACGACACCGCCTCGGTGCTATAATAAAACTGCGAGATGTACTTGAGCCAGGCGATCCTCGGTGGCAAGTTTCTGCAATGCCAAGAACACATTAAAACTCCTCGCCCCCACAATTTCCCCCTTCACTCTGAAACTCACCCGAGATGAAGATAAATTCCGCTGAAAATTAACGTGAGAAAATCGATGGGCACGGATAGTAGCGAGGCAGTATCGATTGATTTGAAGGAGGCAGACATGAGACAACCTGTTATCAAGAGTAATTAAAACTTGTCCCCAACAACAATTTATCAACTTCCAATGACTCGTCAATTACTGACCGACAGCTGATGCTGATGTGGCGCACAGTACGACGGGTATTGCGAAGTAAATGAACCCAGTGATGCCGCCTTTGAGACCGGCTATGCTGTAAATCAACGCTGCATAGAGAAATGGCTGAACAATTGAGCCGGGTATCTGGAAAATTAGTTGGGATCTTCACTGTTCGCACATTACTCTTGGAATTTCAAGGGAAAAAGCGTGAAATTTTTAACAACGACAAAGTTACATGACATTTCTGCATGTTTTCATTGACGAATCGGTTAATTTCTTGAATATTCAAGTATTCTCGATTTTCTGGTCCTCACGACACTGAAAAACACTGAGAAATTTTGAAAATTCAGGCAACAACTTTTCTGAATTCTCATTCTATAAAAAATATCTCAATGGATGAGTTGAATAGAAAAATGGAATTCTATTGACTTGTTCTAATTTCTAATTGGGATTACGCGATTGGAAAATTACTTTTGGAATTTCAAGTGATAAAGCTTGAAATTTTCAACAACGACAAAGTTACGTGAAATTTCTGTATATTTTTTCATTAACGAATCAGTTAATTTCTTGAATATTCAAGTATTCTCGATCTTCTGGTCCATACGGCACTGAAAAACACTGAAAATTTTGGAACAACTTTTCTGAATTCTCGTTCTACTGAAAATTTAATTATGTGATGTTCAATTTTCACGGTGGATTTGGAAATTCAAGCTTTCATTGAAGAATCAATAGGAAATTTTGTGAACGTTCTCATCTGAAATTGAATTCCAACTCACAATATCAAAAATTCAGATGACGCTGTGACTGAAATTTCAAGAAATTCCTAACAGTGTCGCTCACTGAGAGAAAAAAGAACTTCCGCCGAAAGATTATGTTCTACGCAAGAGATGTTTTGTCGCGTTGGATCAATTCAGTTGTAAAAAATAAACAAAGACTCCTGGAGATATTTCAAATGGTCACGACAAATTTTATATTTTCCCAAAAATGCTAAATTTCCACTCGTTTAGTTTGTCAATTCCCCTCAAATAAATCTGTTCCACTCCATCAAATATTCACTAATAAAATATTCACTAATAAAATGGAACATATTTTTTTCGACACAGCAAATTTCTTCCTCAGTGTCTCTTCATTCACGAACAAAAGAGTGAAGAATAATGGAAATAATATTACCAGAACAGCAATTTTGCTGAGATAATAGGGAGCTGGGTAATAGAGCCCGCTGGCCATGTCCCTCAGCAGAAGTGGAAGTTCCTTGGGAAATGTATAGAAGACACCGTAATTGAATGTAAATACAGTCTCGGTAACGACCAGATACATGAGCCCCTGCATATTTTGTATTCCGTTCTGGTCGATGTTCTCGGCTACGTCGATGTAAGGTGTTGCAAGGAGGATTCCTATACACATGTACAAGCAAAATCTGAGGAGAATGACACTCCAATTTCTCCGGTAATCAACGTAACTCCTCCAGGTCAGCCACTCGAGCTGGGTGAGGGCTCGAATTTTCTTGAAGTCGCTGACTGGCAGAACACCCTCGGCAAAAACTGGGTGGGGGGCGCGTTCCTCGTGATCTCCGTTGCAAGACCTGTCGATGGCTCTTTTCATTCGCTTACCGTACTCGGAACCCTCGAATTCCTCGCAGATCCAATTAACCTTCTTCGTACTTTCGGCTTCGCTGCCCCAAGTCAATGATAACTGCGAGACGAAGAACTCGGCGTTGTTGAAAGTTGGGGGACAATGGAGACCCAGGCTGAAGGTTCGATGACGGGGTGAGGGGAATAAGCAAAGATATCACTAGCGAAGTCGTAAAACGGTATAAGTCAATTTTGACGATTGACCAGTTTTCAATGAATATCTCGAAATCTAAGGGATATAGCAAAATTTTTATTATAGCCTTTTTTGTAGAGCCGATTGAGGGCTACAACAAATGTAATTACTAAAATTTCACTATCTCCCTTAGATTCGGAAATATTCCTCAAAAACTCAACTGGGAGATAAGTCGACTTAAACAGTTTCACCACTTCGCTACTGATATAGAAAGTTCAGTTTTCAGGGCAAGGGTACTGATTAGAAAATTCGCGCGTTCAAACAGAATTTAGGATATAGAATTTAGGAAATTCGGAAATTCAGTGATTTAGCCACTATTTTTCAGGCAAATGTCAAATTTCAGTGATAGAAATCACTGATGATCAGCCTTTTTCTAGTCAGTGTCGAAACTCGAAACTCAAAACTTCTTTTCCCCGTGATATTACAATCAGTTGAAGTTTTGCTTTCGTTTACCTTGCGAAGAAAGACGTGGCGTCCATTGAACTACCCTGAAAGGCAACTTTGCCGGAGGTGAGGAGAAGGACCTCGTGGAATAATTCGAGGAGTCCTGAGGCGGGCTGATGTAACGAGCAAACAACTACTCTTCCTCGGGCTGCAACATCTCGAAGGGTTCGCACCACCACCAACGCGGAGTAACTATCGAGCCCGGTTGTCGGTTCGTCGCAGAATAATATGGTGGGCTCGGTGAGAAGTTGAACAGCCAGGGAAACTCGTTTACGTTCTCCCCCGGAGAGGGTTAATAGCTTCGAGAGTCTTGACTCGCGGAGGCCCAGATCGCTCAGGAGATTTTCGATTCTCTGGCGGCGGGAGGGCGTTCGGAACCTGCGGTCCATCTTCATTCGAGCCTGGAAGGGTTCAATGCACGGAGAAAAAAATACCAGGAAAATTACCGGGCTCGCACCCTAAACTAGGTTTAAATGGCTCTGGCCGGCAAAATTTTGCGCGAAGAGCGGGGAAAATTACTGTTTTCTCGGGATTTTATTCTCCCAATTGATTGATTTTTTTATTACGCTGTCTGCAAAGTGGTATTATGCGCACTCAGCGTGCGAAAAACTCGGCTTCGCACGCACTGCGATGGGAAATAGCGTCCGACACTAACTCGTTGGAGGCCAGCCCTATTCAATTTTCATCCCCAAGTGAAGGTTCAAATTAATTAACAATTCAACGTAACTTAAGACCGAACATTTATATTAAGATTCAAACTTCAAGTAAGCTGTGGAATTCTTTTTTTCCTGCGGTTTATGAATTTAGAATTTCACTGAATTTTCAGTGGAATTCAAAATTTCACGATTTTTTGGCCGTAAAATTCAATTTTTTTCTAAACCGAGTAGTAAAATTATCCATGCAGGCCGATAAAATGAGTAAAATCCTGAGCTTTTTGCTCTGACGAAATTGAATACTGTTACTCTGAGAAACTTAAATGCACATGCGATAATTTTGCTGAATCAGCAATGAATTTTCGCGAGATTGAATCCACTTTGTTGTACGGCACTGTCATTTTCGTCTGGATTTACAGAGAAAAATTCTCGCATTTTTTTTATTCGCGTGGGGGTTTAGAGACACGTTGGAGACGAGTTAGTACCATGAACTCCATGTGCTCCTGGACTGTGAGGGTCTCTACGGATAAATCCTGTTGCGGGACGAAGCCCGATATTCTCGACATCAGGTGGTTGTCAACGGGCTTGCCGTTTAGGAGGACCTCTCCGGTGGCTTCTCCTTTCAGGCGTTTACTGATAGTTGCTAGCAGTGTTGTTTTTCCAGCTCCACTGGAATGTTCGCAGATGAATTGACTAGGATTTAACTCGAAAAAATCATCTGCTTCGACTCAAATTTTCCAATTTCCAAATTTTCCACATTTTTCCATTCTACATTTTTCTTCTTCTCACCAACGAAATCAAACAAGAAAACTTGGAAAATTTGAGCTGAGGAATTCTATACAAAATATCTCGATAGAATGAGTTCAATAGAAATATCGAATTCTATTGACTTTTTCTATGGAATATTTTCTTTTTCTATAGATCATTTCAATAGAATCGGCCAAAAACCAATAGAAAGTCGAACAGAAATCCAATTGTCTACACTGAGAGAAAAACAAATACGTTGTCAAACAAATCTTGTTTGGGCCAACAAAATCGCTAGTTGAAAACTGCCAAAAAAGAATTTGTCTGGTTCGAATTTGAAAGTCTCAAACATGAATAATTGTTCTGCTTTCGGCAGCAATGAAATATTTGGGTCAAGAGGCGAATAATTCACACCAGACGGTGCCTTTTCAGGATGAAAATATCTCGTATAGAGGAAAATTTATGAACAAATATTTTATCTCTAAGTTACAAGATTGCTATCGTATCATTTTCATTGTTTCATTTAAGGGTTCATTTGTTGTCTGTGATTATTAAACAGCCGAAATGAAAAACTACTATCCCTTGTTCCGCATAAAACAAAGATTTTTCGGGAGCAAAATGCGTATGGGAGTATCAATAACGAAGGAGTAGTGCTAGAAATGAAATTTCTTGCGTGTACAGAGAATGCAATTTTTTTTAACTACAAAATCTATTTTTGCGACAAAAATTTTTCATTCCGGCGCACTCTCTGCATGTTTGGCACAGAAAAAGCCTTTTTTGATAATTTTCAAAAAACTATATTCTTGGCACAAGTAAGACTTGTTTGAGAACTTTGTCGTTTTTCTCTCAGTGTAGCGAATTCGCTAGGCTTTGCTATGAAATTTGTTGACACCTATCTCACCCCCCGTTAATCCCAAAGAGCCTCTTCCCCCAGAGACAAATTTCGGCAAATGGCTGTCTTCCCAATAATTCAATTTTTATCATGACGCGGAAAAATACCTTGGCCCTAATATCGCCATGAGAGTACCCGATTTAACGACACCACTGACTCCATGCAGCAGTTGGACGTCCTCCATGCGTCTGCCCCTCACTAAATCCATGATATATCCCCCATTCCTCCGTCTCTTAACCGTGTACGATATATTTCTCCACGTCAGGGAGAGATTTCTCGGTGAGCAGAGTGCGGTCTCGTTGAAGCTCCTTCTCGGCTGAGACTTCATCTTGAACAATTGCAATCTATTAGCCCGAATCGATGGAATTGGACGTTTGGAAATTACTCCAGCGAGGGCAGCCTGAATGAGGTGGGAGGAAACCACAATAACGAGAATGTGTTTGTGTATTTCGATATGACTATTGTCTGCCCAGTATTTCGTCGTAAGTTTACGTCACGTCTAGGGGGAATTATGTAAAGCTAGATTTTATCCCTGTGATTGCTCGGAGATTTATGACTGCCGCGGGATGATTAATTATTTCTACCATGAGATCAGTTTGATTTAATTAAAATTTCCAATTGTGTGAACTACTTTGAACAGATGGATTGTTTTATCTGACGTTATGTGACGTTAAATGAGACCATGCGAACTATTTACAGATTTTGTGGTAGTTTTGAACTTTTAACAATGCACTTCAGATTTTTATCTACTTTATTTTTCATTTGTCACTATCGCTCCGCGTTACGTCATGAATATATTACATATCGAAGCGTTGGAAGTAATTTAGAAAAGAAATCGTGAAAATAATAAATACTTGAAGATTGACTATTCTTCCAAACGAGATTCGTTAACTATTAACGAATGAACATTTGGTGAGACCAAATAGACTCTAGCCTTCAGCCAAATCCGTTTGTTAACAATAACCGATCCTGTCTATCAGTGTGGGAGGATTAAGCGATTGATGAAAAATTACTTGTCTCAAGTAAATATGCTTCAGATATTATAATTTTTTTCTCTGCGTACGTGTACTTACCTTGACAGTACCGAAGAACAACATGGCTTCACATTCACTCACTCGTGCATTGCGACAAAATATTCGCGAGGGGAGAACGGATTATATTCCACTGGTGAAGTAATCCAGTGAATAAAATATGTTTGGCGAGAGGGCATTGACTGGTGTCGCACGACTCATGGAGATTTTCTATTCATAAGAAAATCACGAGATGATCAAACTCCGGAGACGACTCTTGAATAACTCATCTACAGAGTGATAAATAGATAATTGGAATGGACCTCGGCAGCTCGACGAAGAGAGACTGAAAAATGTGAACTCACGATCAGTCACGCGGGGACGAATCAATGAATGCCGAGGATTGTTTTAACAGCCAAGGATTCAAACAAATGGAGAGAATTTTGAATTTCACATGGAGGGGCTCTCGGAAGACCGCCAACTCCGGCCGATACGGTTACGTTGGGGTAACTGAGAGCAGGTTTTGTACTCAGTGCATGAGATACTCTTAGTGGGCTTAACGGGGGAAAAGTGTTCAGCTCCCACGAAGACACTTCGACGGGGCTGAACGACAGCGGATCCGATTCCAAGTGCAGGGACACGGGCGAAAAAAGAAGAAGTAGACATCGATGAGATGAGTGGCGAATTTTCAGAAAACTATTCTTAATTTTGTGGACTCGTGACTCTTAAGGGGTAACAGAAGGCCACCATTTCCTCGAAATTTTCAAACAAATTTCCTGCTCAAAGTTATGAATATTTTTTGAACCCAAAGCACATTGATCTTCATTATCGTTATCATTTATAAAAATATCGATAACTTGAATAACTTGAATTTCTAGAAAAACAAAGAATTTTCTCTGATTTTTTCGGGAATTATTTTCTTAAACAATAGCTGCTCATTTCACTAGGGCATCCGGTACAATCAGGGTACCCAGAAATATAAATTATCCATCGCAAACGTAAAAATTACTGAACTCACCGATTACGGAATCGATTAAGAAAATTTAAGTGACGGTATCGGAATTTTTCATACACGGAGGGAAATTTTTTAGATAAATTCTACTGCTAGCACGGGAAAAGAGGCGCAAAGGGACGACCAGGAAAAAATTCCAGTGCCGGCACTAGAAATTTTATTAGGGAAAACGTGAAGTTTTCCCCGTATTTCTGTGAAAATTTCACAGAAATCCCCAGAAATACCAAGAAATTTTACCTTAACAGCACTAGAATTTTTCACGCCGGTGGATTATGATTTTTTCCAGCACTCGTAGTAGAATTTTTCTAGAAAATTTCTCTCCGTGCAGGAGATTCAGATAAAAATTATGCAACGCTCTGAAAAAATTCCGCAACAGTTCCGTAAAATTTCCCACAACCACAGATCGCTACGGAATTACGGAAAAAATACGTAATTTTTATTAAATATTTCTCTCCGTGCAACAATTTAGAAAATCGAGAATGCCACAACGCCTGCGACACTCCATCAATCCCAATCCCCCTGAAAATTCACAGCATATCCAAGAACACCGAAGGAAGGGGTATTCATCTGCGACCTAGGAAATACAGACATGTGAGAATAGTTGGGTGAATAATCCGCCGGAAATATTGGAATCGGCGCAATATGATTTCACGAGGAGCGGCGAAATGAAACGAAAGGCCGCTTTGCGTTGCGCGGAGCGGCCGACTGTTCCATCTGTGCGCTCTCCCATCACCGTGGAATGACGGGATTTGTTAGATATCGAGCGACTAGTTACACAGCTAAAATGGCGTGCGCTTAGTCGGGGTTTAATCGGGCTCGGAGAAAATCTCGTTTCCTCTGAATAAAACTCAATAATTTACCAAAACTATTATTTAGACATCAACATAAGCATTAAGGAAAGGCAAAAGCCGCTGAATAATTTAAAAAAATCGATAATCTTCGCTGTATTTATTTTATTACAAAGAATTATTAGTCATTAGATAATGAGTTTTATCGCTTGACCTCAATTCTCAGAGATTCGCAGCCATTTTCAGGTGAAAAACAATCGCCTGTTGATTGAATTTCACCAATGGAACGATCGATTTAACCAATAAAGAGTGGGATATTGATCCAATTGGGTATTTATCACTGCAAGTAAAATGTCGATTGTCCAAACATCCACTCCGGTGGCCGGAAAAAAACGCGAGAGAACTCAGAACTGGGTGCCTGAGGAGAAACGCGAGCTCTTTACTCTGATAAAAGCCCACATTAATGCAATTGAGAATAAGAAAATCGACACATCAGCCACTGCACTCAAGAGTCTCGCCTGGCGTCAGATCTACTGCGACTTCAAAGGAATATTCTCTACTGAGCGCGACATCACCAGAATGAGGGAGCAGTGGAGGAGAATGAAGGCGCAAGCCAGAGTCGACATCAACACCTTCGCCGAGAAGGTAAAACGACGGGAAGGCGTTTAGGCTCTTTCACGGGTTTTGAGGACAATTACGAAATTGAATGATGAAAATGAAAATGGGAAATGGAGGTTTTGTAGATCTTTGAAATTATGACGCGGAAAAATAACAGTCACAAATGAGAAGCATTGTTTTTAGGAATAAAATCGAAATTTAGTGGTATTACTGGCAAATAGTGATTATACATCGAGATAACACCAATTAATTAAAAATTCAATTAATTGGAAATTATTGTTTTATATTACTATTATTATTATTATTATTATTATTATTAATATTATTTAATAATAATAATAATATATATCAATAATATAATATATTATCAATAATATTATTTAATAATAACAATAATAATAATAATAATAATAATAGTAATATAAAACAATAATTTCCAATTAATTGATTTTTCAGTTTTATAATTATTATATTTTATTATTACTGTTATTATTATTCGTATTATTATTTCCAATTAATTGAAAATTCAAGTAAGTTTGGGAACTCGCGTGTTTCTACGGCTGAAAAATTTAGAATTCCGTTGAATATTCTGTAAAATCTGAAATTACATTTTTTTCTAAGAGTGTAATTTCGTCCCCCGCCCCTCAAACAGGTGAGGACAGTAGGCCTGCAGGAGGCGTCGAAGAGCCGACCGCCGGCTTTATCCGTCGACGTCTGGCGTCTGCTCCAGGTTCTCAAGAAAAACGAGAGCGAGCCGACGTCAGACGACAGCCAGGACGCAGATCCCACCTCGAATCTGCAGGAGATCTTGGATAATCTCTGTCCGAACCCCCTGGAAAATTCTTTCGACTCGATAAAACAGGAGTGCATCTCCGAATTCAATGATGACGATCCGTCCGTGCAGAGTTCATTCGCGAGCTCGCCGCCTCCGGAGAAAACCAGGGGGGTGAGATTATCCGAGGAGGAGCCGATGAATCTCGCGCACCAGAAGAAGATGCGGCTCAGTCAGGAATGCTCCGGGGATGAGGACGAGGAGGAGCCGACGCTGATGCCTGATTACTCGAGTGAGTCAATCAAGAGGGGATCGTCACTTGACATCAGTGCGGAGGAGCGGAATATGAAGTTGAAGATCCTGGGGCTCGAGCTGGAGAGGGCTGAGTTGAAGAAGCAGACGGCTGTTTATGAACTGAGGACTTCGGAGATCAGGAAGCAACTCGTGGAGAGTCAGGCCATTGACTACTTCAGGTGAATTTAGTTGTTTTGGCGCAGTTTTTAGAAAATTTTCTGGTTTTTTTTGTCGAGAAAAAATTCTTCAGATCTTGTTTAGGAAAATCCCAGGAGTTTTCTTTTAGAAAATTTGATGGGCGAGGAAATTCTTTACCATTTTTTTGTGAATAACATTTTGAATAACATTTTTCTGGATTTTCATGAAAACTTTGTAAAAAAAGGTAAAATTGAGGGCCACAAAAAAGGTCGTAACAAAAATTTTGCTATCTTCCTTAGATTCCGAGCTATTTATTGAAAACTCGTCAATCGTCAAAATTGATTTGAACCGTTTTACCGCTTCGCTACTGAAATAGAGTAGGATAATTTACCAAAAGACCTTTCTCATGCGGAATTCTCTCAGTTAGAACAGATTTTAAAAACAGTTTTTTTTTAATTTCCGTCTAAAACTGCCAATTCCACAGAAATATACAAAAAAACTGCACTCAATTATTTTCCTCCCTTCCCTCACTCCATTTGAATTCAGCGGGTTTGATGTTACCGCCTCTGCCGGCTGTCGCACCATCTCGCCGGAGTGTAAAGTTATAACCTTTGTGCCAGAACGCAGTTGAGTTTTCCCCTGATATTCCGCGACATCAATAAAAAACAATGCAGCGTGCGACATTCATTTTCTCCAGGAGAATGGCATCTCTGAGGTACAAACTCTTTAATTCCATCGACTCGAGAGATTTCACTGGGTTTTCCTTGAATTTTCAATCAGTCACACCCGGCACTGGCCCGGCAGACGTTTCATCGTCACTTCATCGATTAACAATCAGATCACGCTAGGATTTTATTTGCCGACCAATTAGAAAAAATCCTACGTCAATTGATTGCTTTTTTTCGAGACGCAGTTCCGCAGATATAAATAACAGACGTTTTCAGGAGTTTTTTTGAGTCTTCAGAAAATTAAGAGAATATTTCGAGACATTATGTAATGCCCTGCTGTCTCCCAGCGCTCAGAGTGTGGCGAGAATGCCCTGTTTTTCGTGCAATTGGAAATTTATTTTTGTATTTTGCTCATTTTTTCAGCCAAGCTAGAATGTCCGGCGAGGCAGGATCTGGTGCAGGGAAGGGTGGCGGTGGTGGTGGTGCCATCCGCAGCGCTGGGGGCTCCTTTGGAAAGATGGAAGCTGCACATGAGGACCAGTACTTCTACAATCAGGTGATTATGGATATTAAATCAGTAGCGAAGTGGTAAAACGGTACAAGTCAATTTTGACTTTTGACCAGTTTTCAATGAATATCTCGGAATCTAAGGGAGATAGAAAATTTTTTGGTGTAACCTTTTTTGTAGAGCCGATTGAGGGCTGCAACAAATGTGATTACGAAAATTTCGCCATCTCCCTTAGATTCGGAAATATTTCTCAAAAACAACTGGAAGATGAGTCGACTTGAACCGTTTTACCACTTCACTACTGAAGTATAAATGGGGCGATGGAAAATGAAGATGTTAAAATGTCAAAATAAGGGAGAAGTGTAAAGATAAGAATAGAAGCAAGAGTAACTTCAGAGGGGGTGGTCAGATGGAACAGAAACGAATGCATTTTAAATGGGTTAAAGACATTCGTAACAATATTTTGCATTGATAGGGAAGGTGGAAGGATTTAATTGCTGAAATTCATTCAGCAACTAGCAATTTCAAAACAAATGGTCGAGAACAACAATTTCCTGTATATGAGTTAGGTGCTGTTAACACGGCTTCTTAACTATTAAAGGATGGTCGTAGCGGTTAAGAAGCCTCGTTAACAGCAAGTAATTTCTGTCATCAGTGTCTGAATGAATGGAGAAACAATAGCAATTCAACTTTGGAGTTATTAGTTCTTGAAGTTCTTTAAATTCTGAAGGAAATTGAGGGATTTTTTCTGGGAAATTTTCGCATTCTTATAGATATTTTGTTATAAAAAAAATTTAACAGTGCATCGTAAATGGTTTTGCAAATGCATTAAAAACTGAGAAGTCTCAAATTGGAATTTTTTTGTTGCTAAACGTAATAATTGAAATGAGAACCTTGGACACTCATTTTTTATTTCGTTGAATAATGGAAAATTGTTGAGTGATAATGCTTGCATCTCCATGATTTTTTCAAAATGAAAAAAAAACAGGTAAAAACTGAATTAATTTTGTGAGTGAGGGTCTCACAAAAATTGGACTATTACTATTACATTTTGAGAAATGAAAATTATTCGAATATTTTGTATTTCGGACCATCGGAATGTAATTTTCATTGCTCTCAGCAAAAGGAACAACTGAAGAACTTGAGGGAGGGCCTCCACGATGAGATTTCCTTTCACGAGGAGCAAATAAAACGCCACCAGGAAGCCATCAATCGCCACAAGAAGAGAATCGACGAGATGGAACACAAGTGAAGGGATCAAACGTTCAGTTCGTTCTGAGCTCGGCGACATGCGCGAGGAGTGTCTCTATCATTAGAGTTACAACGTCATTTAACCATAGCATGCATCCTGAGCACCAAATTGTGGCTAATTTTTTTCTTTTTTTTATCATACGAATGTGTTGTTACAGTGTAGGAATAAATTTTTGATTTTGAAGAAGTGAAATTATTTATGTGTTCAATCATTATTTCATGAAGACCATGCGGTTCAGAGACAGATCTCAAGTAATGATTTCTGCACAGAAGATAATTTTCTGTTGGAAAATATCTGCAAATAGAAAAATTTGAAGTTTAATCGAAAAACCGTATATTCCGGAGGATCATTAACCCATCAAAAACTTAAATATTAATTTAAATTCACTAATGGATGAATTTAAAAAAAAAAATCAGTAGATTTTTAATTAAAAATTCCAGACTTGTTAATGAATTCTTCAAATCTTGGTATTTGAGAATTAATTTTCTACTCATCTCTCTGCTATTAATTTTTCAACCCTGATATTTGACTCTTTTTTGTTTCTCAACATACAAAACCCAAAATGTTCTGCTGCCGACAAAAATTTTAAAAATTCTCCGCAAATGGAAAAATTCAAAGAAGAAAATCATTGGATTTTAAATTGAGTCATGTTAAATCGAAAACTCGTAAATCCCTCAGTCTACAAAAATAGGTGAGCCAGAAGCGTTCGAGCATTTCGAGACATTGCCATCAGCTTGAAGGTTAAAATCACAAAAATCACTCATTCCAGTTTTAGGTACTTGAGCCAAAAGAGTAACGGAGCGAACTTGAACCAATTCAGTGCTAAACGAATGGCGTTTGAGAGTGATTACTACTACAAGCAAGTAAGTTTATCACAGAAAAATCCATTGGGCTGTGATTCCCTCATCTCCCCATTTCTCCCGGCATTAGAATAAAGAACTGCGGGAATTACTGAAAAGAAAAACTCAGGAGGAGGTCCAGAAGATGCAGAACAAGGTTCGCTCCATGCAGCGCCAAATCAAAGAGTATAATCGCGACATAAATGAGACGCTGAGATTTTTAGAGAATTTGGATAAGGGTGCCACATCTAAGGAAAAGAAAACCTAAGAAAAAAAACATTCAACGGCCACAGTAACAAAAACACCCCTCTGTCTAATATTTGTGAAAATATTGGAAAAGAAATCACGAAAATAGCAGAGGGTTTTTATAAATAATTTCCACTCATCAATGATTTTTCATGGAAAAAATTGCCCTATTCTTATTAGATTCAGACATGTTCACACAAAAATAATCACGAGAAAAAATCATATTGTGAAGGCCAAGGCATAATAAATAATTCCCAATCCTCGATTAAAATTCACATAAATTTTCTCCGTTCACAAGATAATTTGAACCATTTATCGCCTCCGAACCACCACACCTTTTATTCTCCCGAATTTAAACTCTCAAAAATAATAATTCCTTCAAGTTCAATAAAACTCATTCAGAAACAGAAACTCAAACTGTCTCAAAGTTCCACCCGCCACCGCCGGTGGCGCCACAAAATTCATCATGGCGTCTCGCGTTAGTTCACGGTGGCATCGTCTCGACCGTTGCGCCCCCAGTGTCTCCCGAATCATCGATCAGTGTGGTGTGTGTCTCCGCGTTGTTGCTCCGTGAAGGGGTTTTTTTTCAGTGTTAAAAATTTTGTTAATACCCAACGTAGCCACGCTCGGTGTTCCAGCCGAACCCCCCCGACAATTGCACCCCGTTGTTTCACATTGAGTCCCAAAGTTAAACAATCAGTGACAGTAAAGGGCTCCAGTGTGAGCCCTCCCCAACCGGTGGTGACAAAAGGGATTTTTTTTTAAACACCAGAGTAATCAAGGATGCAGCCAAGGATATACTGGATTCTTGCTTGCGCGGCCGTCGTCTTCGTCGGATGCAATGCCGCCGCTGCGACCGAGGTGAGTGCATTCCCGAGTCAATTAAAAATTACGCGTGACAGAAGTCAAACCCCTACCCCTCGCCACCATCAGATCCCACCTCAACACCCCGTGGTCCGTAAAAATAATCGACAAAACCGTATTCCTGGGCTCTTCAATGACCAACAAAATTGTAACATTCCTGACGCCTCCGAAAGTCCCGTTTTTTTTTCTATCACGTTCCAGTCATCCCACTGCCACCTCCACATTATCCATTCGATGGGAGTGTTATCAGAGTCAAGTTTAACGTAAAAGAGACAAGGGAATCTCCAAATCCGTCAGACTGAAGCGAAGTCCAGATGGTCGACGGTAATCCCGTGAGAGAATAATCTTTCAACCCTGTGATATTTTTTGCTCTCATGTGTGCTCCGAAAATGACAAATGAGCCATCCCCCCTAGGCTCCCCGCGTCTTCTCCCATTCCCATATTCGTCGAAAACATGAAGATTAAATGAAAGCATGTGTGTAGGGTAAACAGGCCAATTGCTGGATGGTTAACGGAAATTCGAGTTTGTTGTAGGATTTAAAATCAAAGAATCACCTAAATGGGAATATGATGGCTTCCATACCTTCGAGACTGTTTTAATTAGCAAAAAAAATTATTAAAAGTCAAAATAACAAAACAGAGAATAGTCAAATTAAGAAATAGTTGAATGGACGACTGGGCCATATTTTTTTATTTATTACACGTCAATATTACATTTTACATTATTACATTTATTATACACGAGTAATATTATTGATAAATTAACTAATTAGTACGATTTTCATTTTATTGTTTTGTGGAACATTCAATGGAATTAGAAATCGTTCAGAAACTAACCCCCGTCCGGATATTGACCTGTTTTCCCTGTGATATTCTCTATGGGTTTATAAAAGTGCAACTGTGCAGCCTAGCGATGGAATGCCAGTTTCTGTCGGCTCGTCAATCGTAAAAATAGTCGAAGGTCTTGTGTGTACACACAAGAGAGCAGAAGTGAAAAAAAGAGGAGAATGAGGGGAGAGTGGTGGAGAAGAAAAGAAAGAAATTCAGGGACTCCACAGTTCACTCGTTTTACAAAGGAGCGAGGGAGAGGGATCGATGGGAATGAATCTTAGGGCTAATAAGAAAATATGGTATAGTCGGTGTTTAGGGACGTAAAAATTTGCCACAGTGAGTCACAACTGCCGCGGCATGAAATACGCAAAGACAACCCCTCGTATCGCCAGGGGGGGCTTGGCTTTAGGTTTAACTCCACATGGCATATCTTTATTTTGAACCCTCTCTAATTGCATGAAATGTCACTGTGGAGAATTGTCGCTATTCACTGCGATTGCTTCTGGAATCCTGGAGAATTAATGATTCATGGTGACAGATGTTTTTTTTTATTGAGAATATTTTTTGACTTGACAGAATTTGTTTTCGTCACTTGTACAAAAAGTGAAATTTTACGAATTTTTTGTGATGAAAAATAGAGCTTGCAACTCGAGGGAAAAGCCGCCTTCGACCCTTGGGAGGACTGCAAAAAACACTTTCACGCACGCGTATTGAAATGTGCTATTCCATCTGTACTGTTGGAAAAATAAAACTTTCAAATCTTTATGAGAACAAATTCACAGGAAATTCTCATGTTCTGGTATCGACAAATCAGTTTTTTGGAGATTTAATGGAATTATGAGTTTCAGGTCCATGTGACAATGAAAACAATTTCAAATTGTGAAAATTCAGGCCCTAGTGTGAGGATATATTGAACGCAAAGTTTTCAAACGTTTGCCAGTGATTTTGTTTTTCTAAGATTCGAAAAATCTGGGATCCAAAGTAGATTTTACTTCCTAAAAAAGATTCATAGAATAATTAACAAATTGCAATTTTCGAAGATTATGACCTTTTGTATGAACAATCAATGTTTTATTTGAAAAATCACCTTTTTAAAAACGAATAACAATTTTCCATGTGAAATACTTCACAAAAAACCGTTGTTTATTTACAAGAGAGGAATGTTGAAGAAAAGTAAATTTCAGGCAAAATTAATATTCAACGAGATCAAAGATAATAAGTAATAGGGGAGGTTGAGGTAAAACGGACACTTTTGACTTTTTAAAAAATGTTAATGAGGGGTTGAAATGTCGATAAAATTTAATTTTTTTTTCAACACAAAGAACAATTCTTTCCCTCTGTCACGAGCCGAAACTGAGCTCAATTCCTCAATATGTTTCTGAATTATGAATAATTTTTAAAAAGTCCAAAATGTCCGTTTTACCCCATCCTCCCCTATCGCTAAAAAAGCCGAAATATCAAAGATAAAAAACTACTGATAAAAAACTACAGACGAAAAACGACTCATCATCTCTCAATGAAAGTTAATTCCCTAGCATTCAATCGCATAATTTCCTCAATACAAAAAACCCAATTTATCTTGAATCGCCAGCGATATTCTCAATTCTGAGAACAACATCCGAAAAAATAACGAATGCAGACGCGAATGGAGGCCAGTGACCTCTCCCCGCTCCTCTCTTTCTCACTCTCTCCCAATTTCCATGAATCAAAACTCCTTCGGGTATCGTTAATCGTAGACAATACAATAGTGACTCCACAATCCCCGTATAACACGATAACAAACTCTCGTCCATTCAAGAAAATCCCCACTACTCCCAATATTCAGGCACAACAAAACCAGCTGTACAGCTGAGAGAGACCAGCGATAAACCGGTTGGATCGAGGCAACGGAATGTAAATAAAAATCCCTCAAAAAGATAAATAACATTGAAATAAAAATCACAAACAGACGCGCGCGAATAAAAACTCGGCAAATCCATCAATCAAATCCATCAATTCGTCGCAATAACGTATCGAAATTATTACCATCGATTATTATTGTTATTGTATCGGTGTCCGAACGATGCAAAGTTCTGCATGTGACGCGCATTTGTTATTTATCTTCTCTGGTGGCTCTTTGAATGGTTGTAGTTTTGATGAGCGTCAGCATCTACTCTTTTATCGTGGTGAGAAAAAAAACAAGAATCATTGGAATCCTGTCACGTTCCGCTCGACCAATAGAACTGCACAAGTATGAATCCCCTCTCCTCTCCCTTCGGCCACCCCACCCGAGACCCCCCTCGATGCCATATACGGCGGCAGATGCGGTTTAATGTATTACGGACACATATGTATTGACCAACTACATAAATTTTGCGTTGATGCAGAGTCATTCAATCCATCCGCATCTCCTCCCAGTTTTTGATTTTTCGATGGGCAATTGTACTCGGAGTTATTACTGCAATTGGGAGCTAGGTGAATTAATGGGGGATATTCATGGGCAAATGGGTGAGGGACAGTTTATTGAGACGCGATCGCACGAGGAAAAGAATTTCTTGTATCTAATAGGGTTGAACAGGTCAATTTCTGGACGGGGATTGGTTTGTGGACGATTTCAACTTGCATTGAATAGTCCATAAATAAAATGAAAATCGTAGTGATCATTTAACCTTTCAATAATATTACTCGTGTATAATCGTGTGATCAATTAGTTTTTCTATTGATGGACATTTAATGAATAAATAAAAAATAGGCAGCGTCTATTCACACGCTTCACGGTAACTTTCACCGGAGATATATAGGAGATCGTGGACCCTCAATTTCTACTTCTCAAATTGAATCTAGACAATAAACTGGACACATCGAATCGATTGATGAGTGATATGCAGACGGTAGACTAGTAAATAATTTTCTCAAAATATTAATTCGTTGAATACAAATATCGGTCTAAATTAACGTACGAGATGTATCGAACTGTGTTTTCTTTTCTGAAACAGACACATTTATGTAAACTACCTAATCTAGTTGCTGTTGATTGTTAAATTAACTATTTAAAGACAAAAATACTTCTGTTTAATGAATATAATTTTGAAACATTGAAATTTAGAGTCAAGTGTCTTGTCTGACATCTCTGCACTGAGAAAACAATTTTCTAATATCGGAAACATATTTTCTTGAGACAAGTAAATTTTCTTCAATTGCTTAAGGATGTTCTACACCCTTTCTGCCAAAATTCACGTTTTTTTAATTTTTCTGGCAAACTTATGATGGAATTGACGTGAAAAAATATAACGTTTTTGCGTTTTGTCATTATTTAATGACTGACGAAATTTTAAGGTGGTGCGAACATTTTCCTGCGTTTTCTCTAAACTTTTAAAAAGAATCACAAAACTGTAGAAAAAACGCATGAAAATTATTGCACCACTACGCAACTTCGTGAGCCATTAAAGAATGACAAACCACAAAATCGTTATATTTTTTCACGTCACTCCCATCGATAATTTGCCAGAAAAAATGAAAACAACGTCAGTTTTGACTAAAAGGGTGTCGAACATCCTTAATTCTCTCAGGCATCTCAACTCACATAACCCGAGAAAAGCCTCATGCTTTAAAATATTCTTGTACTCAATTGTGATTTTGTCGCAAATGAACTTACTTAAATCGCGTAGAAGAATCTTCAATCTTCTAGTCTTTATTGTTTTCATGATTTTTTAATTATGCACTTCCAGTATTGCAATATGTAAAATATTCATGATGTAACGCGGAACGATAGTGATGAATGAAAATTTATTCGAGTTCCGTGAAGTGCACACATTCTGAGATTTAAACAATTGCAAATAATTTACTTCTCTCAAGAAAATATGCTTCAGATATTAGAAATTTCTTTTCTCAGTGTGCTATGAACTCTGGTTTTGAACTCTACTTGCAGAGTTGTGACAACATTGTCCAGTGGGGTCTAGGAGCCTCCCCTGATAGGAAAATCATCCTTAGAATCATCTGCACAGCATCAAAAAAATGAAACAAAAAATCAATTATCAACATTTTTCATCGATATAACTTCTCATTTTCTGTCCAACCTGGTTGAAATAAGTTATACAATTCGTTAATACAATGAAATTAATTTCTACTCATCCCACTATGCCCTTATTTCGCTATTAATAGGTGTGTGCATTTAGTAATAATGGACA